CACACTAATTGATAAGCTATGAAACTGTCTTTTGAAATAAATGCACGCTACTCTTCCAAGTGTCTTTCTCACCAGATGCTATGAGATTAACAAGTGTTTATTTGGGCTTAACTTTTACAGATTTTTGGATAGAACACTTATTCTGAGAATCAAAATCAACAATGTAAATGAAAGTGTCTGGCAAGAAGAAGAAAGATCATACAATTACGGAATTATTACAGGTGAGATTAGTAGCTTTGTTAGACTGAAAACTCATGCCTCAAGTGTCTTTTTTACCAAACTCATGTCTTACTCACATTATACTTCAATAATTAAGACCCCAACCAAAATCCAGTCCATAAGATGTTAATGTAAGATGTTTATTAGTGTAATTTAATTAGCACAATGATCACATTAAAATGTCCCAGTATACAAACTGTTGAAGTCTAAAATCACAAAAAATATAAACTTAGGTGCATGAACAAAGTTATAAAAATATTTAAAAACAAAGTTCAACGTTGGGCCAAAAAAAGGAGAGAGAGACAGACAGCGGAAGAGAGACACAGAGAGAGAGCGAGTACATATAAGAAAAGTCACATTTCAACAGAGCGACCCTGACCAGTCCGGTCGCCTCAGCAGTGGAATCCCGGGCCACTCAGGTGTGACCACCAGGGAGCACAGCATTCCATTACAGGGCCGGCGACTTTTACATATAGAAAGCTGGATGTAAAACATTAAATTTATTTCTTTCAAAATGAAACATCCCAGGGACACAGAGTCAGCTAACAATATATACCAAATTTTAGCTACCCGTTAGTAGAAAATTTCAATTTTATAAATTAAAAAAACACATTTAAAAAAATAAATTTCAAACAAAAACATAATAGAACGGAAATGAAAGTGGAATAAATCAATGTCAACAATGAAGTGGGAGTGTGTGCCTTTGGCCTCTGCCACCGCAGGCGCACCCAGGGTTCCCCGCCCACTGTCACTCGCGTAAAGAGGCTGGTTGAGAGAGATGTCAAACATGATTTTAAAAAGTTAGCACTGCCACTTGTAAAATGTTCCCCGACCAAAACAACAACAAAAACAAACCAAAAAAACCCAAGGAAAAAAATATTGAACAGCCACACACCGAAGGGAGAGAGCAGCGCTTTATTTACTGATGGCGCAGTCTCCCCTGTGGTCACTGCCCCACGCCCGACCAGCTGCTTACAGAGTCAGTGTCGAGCCCTTCCCTTTAAAATGTGCTTCCCTCCCGTGTCTTCTCTCCAGAACTCACGGAAGGAATTCTTGACAGAGAAACCAACCCAAGTGACCAGATCCTCATGACCAGAAGAAGGAATGCTTCCTAAATTCCAGAAGTCATTGCAGGCACTCAGTTTTAACTTTCATAATATTTTGATTCTACCACCCCAAAGGCAGTTCTGTATTAGGGGACCTAAACAATGGATTCAATCCATCTCAAACTCTTCCTCAGAAGACAGTGCCAATGTATTTTAATCTGAAATAATCAGTAGCTTGGCAATTATAAAACCTGCATAGTCAGTTAAGAGGATAGAAAATTTAAAAAGAGTATTTCACCTTCCAGATCTTAAACCAGAACTCCTCAAAGATTTCAAAATGGCCCATGTTTTATATGCTATTTCTAAAAATCCAGTCACCAGTTAATCATTTGAAAAGCTCCACAGTACTTATCCCAAATGGTTCCAGGTTTTTTAGCTATTAGTTTGGAGAAATGAGAAACAAAAATAAGAAAGTCCCATTAGACAATCCTCAGAACATGTGAATGTAGTTGCTAATGTCCGTGGCGAAGGACTTGACACACGGGGTGTCACATGCGTGGCCCTGGCATGCTGCATGAAGGCACCTTCGAAGGGTGCAAAGGGAGGCTAATCCTGAACAGAGACTGAGTCCAATCAGACAATCGCTTCATTAGAAACCTAGTAAACTGCTGTCCTTCAATGTGTTGCCATTTAGTTTCATCTCCTGCTGTTACAGGAAAAGTTATTTTCCATTTGTATCAACATCCCAGTACTCTAACAATACTGGATTCCATGTCCTTTAACGTCTCAATTCTTATTCTGATAGTTCATGATCGTGTTAAGAAATTTTGGTTAAAAAATTCCACACACAATAAGGTTGTTAAACTTGCGGGCAAATCTAAGCCTAGACAAAGAGGTAATTTCATCGTGAAAACAATTTTGGCCCAACTTGCAACTAAGGAAGGATGATTTACTTTGAGGAAATACTTTTCCAAGTTTCATCAGAGCTCCTCTAAATCAGAAAACTTTAAATTAAAACAGCGACCATTGCCCTAATTTCAGTGAGGAGAACAACAGGGGCAGGGGCAGGGCCCCGCCCTGACAGCAAGCTCGCAGGGCAGAGGAGGCGGAGGAGGGCGGCCCGCTGCGGTCACAGCGGACTCGGCCCTTTACGGAGGACGCCCACATTCTCATCGGGGGCTACCACACCCTGGTTCGTGTGGGAGAGCTGAAAACCCAATGAAAAACGCCAACTAAAAATGTTTAAGGAAAAGAAAAATGTGAGCTCGAATTAAATGATAGAATGAGTTTGAAAAGAGAACAAGAAATAAAAAACATCAGGTGACCTTTATAAAAATACTAAAATTAAAAAGAATCCATCTTGTACTTTGTGTTCACAAACAGGAAGGAGGTTCCATCAAGCCCTGCAGAGGACAAGAGGAAGCAGGTGGTTTGCTCAGGCATCAGCAGAGAGAGGCCCCGAAGAACTACCCTCAGCTTCTTCTACATCGTGTCCAGGAAGGAAAAGCAAAGCTCTGCAAAATGCTGAAGGTTTTAGAAGAGTAACGGTGCTTAGGAAAGATCACTGGTCTGGCGTTGCTGCAGCCCCAGTGTTGGGAGACACTCTAGGCTTCTAGGAGGAGAAAAATAGAAAGGGAGGAAGAAGCGGGAAGGGGAAGGAAGGGGCGGAAAAGCACAGGTCATTAGTAAACAGCAAGTTCAACACAGCAAGGTGCTCATAAACACTCTACACGCTATCAGTGGGGCTGAGCCGCTCTTAGGACTAGAGATAACATTCTGAAGGCAACAGAAATGGGAACTTTCAAAGTGCACCAGTTAGTAATGGCCAAATTAGAAACGAAGTCACCACATGCTCCGAAAACATGCACTCTTTGTTCCCTCCCGACTCCTTCCCACCCCCTTTGAAACATGCGTATTTTCAGTGAAGCACCTGCTGCATGTAATACAGTCAAATGTCAAATTCAGAAAGCAAACATCCTCCCAGGGCGCCAACTGTGTTCTATCCCTGTGTGCCGAGGTGCGCTGTCTGAGAGCAGGATGACCTGCTCTTACAGTCTCACCAGGAAGCTCATAACCGGCTCTGGTTGCAAAGGTTCTTCTTTGCAACCAGGAAACTAAAAGTCTTGGAACCATAAGGGCTGGACTGTATGTTTTTCCTGCTCTTTTTCCCTGCCCTATTAAGACCTGGCAGTGGGAAGCAGTTGCTACATAAAGTTGGAGCCTCTTCCGGTCACACCTGACATCCTGCTAGAAAAGAAACCTACTCTAGTTTTGACAGCTGCTTCCTTCCCGGATGGAAACGGCACCCGCTCTTTCACCGGCTACTCAAATCAGCCCCCTCACAGCCGCTGCTTCCCCTGGCACTACCTCCTGGCTAAAGAAAGCTGCACGTGTTCATTTTTTTTAAAGTTTCTGTTCAAGCTTCTTCTCCTTTAATCATAGGGATATTTCCACAAATGTTTTCTTAAAACCAAATTACGTAGACAACTTTGCTTTCAAAGCAGACACTGAAAACCACGTACAACTACAATCATCGAAGAAATAGAAAAATTTTGTTTCATAAAACCGGAAGGCACTTCTGGTTGCTTCTTGCTTTTAAAGCATTCTTAATTCATGAGCTGCTAACAAGGTGTGAATGTCACCAGGTAAAACTAGCAGTCACAACAAATAGAACCTAGCCGTCAATAAATCCAAAGGTACAAAGATATATACAACATTTCTAAGGTCACAGAATAAACACTAAATCCCGGAATAATCACTATTGCTAACGAAGGCTTTCTGGAAGTCTTAGCAACAGAGAGACCCCACAGTAGCTGAAGGGAAGGCTTCTCAAGGCTGAGGGATGCACCCACGAAGAGAAACAGACACGGTCCGTGCTACGGTTTGCCTCCACACGGCAACGGGAATCAAATACTAAGCCCCACTTAAGAGGAGCACATGGTGCGGCAGGGAACAACATGCTTGATCATTAGAAGACTATTCATTTGGGTCAACAGTGTCTGCCTGATCACAACTGCAAATTAAGCGCAGTTATTTATAAAAACTCAACACGACTTCCTATCAGCGGCCTAAGAAAAGATTTACATCGCACCTCCCTGTGGCACCTCGACTGCTCGAGAATTCTTCCTGCTACACACGCCCTGGGGGCCAGGGCCGGTGCTGAGAGGCGGGAACCACAGGGACTGGGTGCCAGCTGAGGGACTATCAAAGCCCTAGTCAAAGGACAGGAGGTAAGAGACAGACCGCAAAAGTTAACAGTTAAGGGGGAAATAAAAAAAAAAAAAACAGACTGAGGGCAAAAGAGAAAAGAACAGAACTTTGCTTCTGTAGCTCACAGGTTTCTTAACATTTTGAGCCGTGGAAAGCAAACTGAGTGCAGTGTGCACTCAGGGAAAAGACCTGCCTAAAGGAGTGGCCAAAGGCCTCCCATGTAGAATACCTGGATGATTATTCTGCCACTCTAAGTGTATTTTTAAGATTAATCCAGCTCTTGTGGGGTACAAGTATGGCAAATATTTGAAGACTATCAGAGGAAACTCACTCTTCTCCTTCCACTGCTGGAGATGTTATGTGGCAGAGGCCCTGGGTTTAAAAACACCCAACAAGGACAACAACATCCTAAGAAATAGAAATAATCCATATGCTTCCATTTACAATCTTCCTCAAAGGAGCTTCTCCAGGTGTTCCCTGTGACTGTGTCACCCACACATTTGGGGACTCCTGGGACCCACTTACCTGTAGCGTCATTCCCTCCTAGTCCATGGTCACCATTGGCTAGCACGGCTGGTTTAGGAGACGGAGTACCTGCAACCACCACAAAGAAGGATCACCCACTGTGACAAGCAAAACAATGAAAATCAGATCCAACTTCTGTCTAACTAGAATTGGTGTCACAACATTAGTTTAAAGCAGATAAAAATTAGTCCAACATTAAAAGGTCCAATAAAAGGAAACCCAGAAACAGAAATGAGCCATTCATTTCTATGGCCTCCAAACTCTGTTAAGCACCCCCAGTATAGGAAGGCCCGTCCTAACAGCAAGCGAAGTCTTTTCTGTTCTGTAAATTGTCAAAGACTAGCATCATATTCAATAAAACCATCGTGAAGCACCACTCATTTACTATCTGTGATTCCAATCAAACGCCCCAGGGCACTGGGCCATTCAAAACAACCCCTACCTGACAAGTCCCCTGCACTACCCCTTCTCCTGGACCTAAGGGTTACACAGAGGTCAGCAGAATTCCAGAAGCAGAGGACTTTTTTTTTTTTTTTAATTTCAGCTATTCTAATAAAGTATAGTTATGTTTTGTTCCCTAATAAGTAAGGATGTCAAGTATCTTTCCATGTGTTTATTTGCCATTTCTTTAATTTTTTTGGTAAACTGAGTAGTCAAATTTTACTATTTTTTAAAAGGTTTTATTTATTTTTACAAAGAGGGGAAGGGAAGGAGGAAGAGAGGGAGAGAAACATCGACATGAGAGAGAACGACTGATCAGCTGCCTCTCACACACGCCGTGACAGGGAACCAAACCCACAACTCCGGTGTGTGCCCTGACCGGGAATCAAACTGGCGACCTTTCATTCTGTGGGATAACATCCAACCTACAGAGCCACATCAGCCAGGGCTTGAGTACTATTTAATTGGGCTATTTCTTATAGAGTTTTGAGGATTCTGTACATATTCTGAATACCAACCTTTCATCAGATGAGTGTTGCAAATATTTTCTCCCTGTATATAACTTGTATTTCTTGTATTTTCATTTTCTTAACTGTGCCTTTTGAAGAGCAAAAGTTTTTTGTCTTAATTCTTTATTTTTCTTTAAAGATTTTATTTATTTTTAGAGAGGGGAAGGGAGGGAGAAAAAGAGGGAGAGAAACATCAATGTGTGGTTGCCTTTCACATGCCCCTCCTGGGGGCCTGGCCCGCACCCCAGGCGTGTGCTCTGTGCCCTGACTGGGAATCGAACAGGTGACCCTTTGGTTCGCAGGTTGGCACTCAATTCACTGAGCCACACCAGCCAGGGCTGAAAAACAAGTTTTAAATTTTGATGAAGTTGAATTTATCTTTCATCTTTCTGGTAAGATATCTAAGAAATCTTTGCCTAAGCCGAGGTCACAGGATTTTCTCCTAGTAGTTTTATAGTTTTCAAACTGAGGCGTATAATACATTTGGAGTTAAATTTTATATATGTTATAAGATATGGGTCTAGGTTCATATTTTTGCATATGGACATCTGTTTGTTCCTACATCATTTGTTCAAAAGACTACCCTTTCAAGTCCTTTGAATTGACTTTGCACCTTTGATGAAAATCAAATGACCTTATTACATGTTGATATATTTCTGGACTGTTCTGTTACACTGACCATAAACAAAAATTCTATCCATTTTGCCAATACTACACATTGTCTTGATTACTGTATTTGTATAGTCTTGAAATGAGATCACAGGAATCCTCCAAATTGGGTCTCTTCCAAAATGGTTTTGATTATTATTAATTTGCTTTCTCATACAAATTTTAGAATCAATTTATACAAAAATCCTAATGGAATCTTGATTGCAACTGCACTGACTATATAGATCAATTTGAGGAGGGACAACTTTCCCTGAAGGGCTCTGAACACATCTAACATTTCAGCCACCTGCATAGCTCTAAAGTCAGCCTGCCAACCCAAGAGGTTCCTATGAATCACTCTTAAAAATCTCACAGATTTTTTTCATAAAACAAGTGAAAATCTAGAATGTATGCTACAAAATTATAAAATGCAAGATTTTACTTTGGAAGACAAGAAACTACACTAACTTTCTGGCTCCTACAAATCCAAGGCAGAAATCTTCCACATAAGCTCACTGAAAAATTCCACTATCTCAGATAACTGGCGAACAACAAAAGAGAACAACCTAAAAGAAAAAGGCAGACCAAAAAGAGAATATTAATTAACAGGAAGAATAAGTTGTGAATAAAGGGATGTAAAACAAGCTTATTAAATACCCACTATGCACCACACACCATGCTAGGGCTTCATAATTGCATTTTACTTCCCCAAAGAGATGTCAAATATGTTCTATCCCATATTTAGGCCAAAATAAATATATTCCCTTTTATCCTCACACAGTAAGCTTATAAAATTTATTCTTTCTAGCTCAAGAAAAACGCATATTTTAAAAAATCTGCCTCATTAAAAAATACAGATTGCAAAAAACCAAAATAGAAATGCAGATTACAAGGAAATGCAAATTACAAAAAAAAAATGATACCATCTTTTGGCCACGAGAGTGATAAAATGTTTTTAAAATTTGATAATAGCCAGTGTTGGCAAAAGTATAGGAAAATAGCAATAGCTAGTCTCCTAAACCACTGGGGGAATATAAATTAGAAAAAACTTTTCATGGTAATATAAACTAGAAAAGCCTTTTCATGAGGCATTTGGCAATCCATCAAATTTTGAAATACCTGTTTAACTCAACAATTCATTTTAGGTATTTAGTTCAAAGAAAGAAAGAAAAATACACAGAAATGAATGTAAGTAGGATGTTTATTATGACATTGTTTGAAAAGTAACGAATGGCCATGAAAAGATTCATTTCACTGTGAAATAATATGCAACTATTAAAGAACTGAGGTAGCTCTCCATGTACTGATTTGGAAAGATACCAGGACATATTAAGAAAACAATAAAAGCAAATTATGCATAATAGCATTATAAAAACAACCCAAAAATACTCAGGAAACTATGAAAGAATATATACCCAACGCCACCGGTAAGTGCGAAGGAACGAAGCGCAGGGAACCAGAGATGGGGATAAAAAGGAAGCCGTGCACAGGCAGAGAGCAGGGTTCTAATTAAGCACACGAAAGGATTTAAGTGCAGATAAAGGTGGCCAACTGAAGCACACAGGTGAGCTTCAACATACTGTCATAAGTGCTTCAACAGAACAGAAAGGGTTGCTTAAAAACATAAAGATTTAGAAATCAAGGAAAATAACAAAAATATCCAAGAATATCAAAGCAAACAAGACCACCCTGAAGAACTCACAGCCCAAAGGAGGCTCAGGAGAGCAGGGCTCCATGGCACTCCACGCGGAGGCAGCAGGGACAGCAGGGGGCTACCCGCTGCCAGGCCCGGTGCTGACTCCCCACGCCCCCCACCCCTCCCGCCACGGCAGTCGGCCTTGTGCCAGCCTCCCGGTGGGAGCAGAGACTGGATGCTTTGGCACTGGAGGAAGACAACTCAAGGAGTGACACCCAGGCACGGGCAGCCCCGTATCCCACCTGGCGGCTCTGACACATCCCTGCCAGCGGCAGTGGTAGTCCTGTGCCACAGGGAACCTCGAGTAAGACAGCATCGGACTACCACCAAAGAGGAGGGGCATCGCATTCAGAGGACGTATATCGCCCAGGGAAACAATGCTAAAGAAATGTGTAATCTTCTCTCAGAAGGACAGAAAAATATAAAATAAATCACAAGTCCATGGAACAATAACAAGCCCTAAAGAAAATGACTTATCTAATGACTGAGTAACAAATCCTTTTCCACATTTCCAACTCTTTGCTTTCATCAAAATGAATGAAGCCATAATGGAGCTGTCATCTGATTGGACAATTAAGAGTTTTAGTCATACTGAATTGTGAAATTCTTAGCATATAACTCAGAAGACTGAAGATAACGCCATGATAAAGCTTCTATCCCCATGTACTTAGCTATGTGAATGAGGTTTCTTGGCTATTATGTTTATAGAAATAGAAATAAAAATTGCTAAATACTGCTTCATCCCAGCAAAAACTGGTCCACAGGTTCATAATCTAATCACTAAAGTCATAAACCCCATAGTCTCATTAAGAAAAACATTTCCAATTAAATTCAACTTTTTGGTTAGTAATAACATCAAAAATTATTAACAGGTGATTAACTGTGTACTGTTAGTAACTGTGATGGTAAATTTCTTTTGGAGCAAGTTGATACTTAGAGCCTGACTGTTACAGTAACTTCTTAAAATAAAAATTAAGTAAAAAAAAAAAATATATATATATATATATATATATATATATCTATCTATCTCTACAGAAACAAGATAACTTTAGAAAAAACCTTTCAAGTATAAAAACACATTACATTAGGGCCCTGGCTGGTGAGGCTCCATGGATTGAGCACCAGCCTGTAGACCAACGCGTCGCCTGTTCAATTACCAGTCAGGGCACATGCCTGGGTTGTGGGCCAGGTACCCAGTTTGGGGGCGTGTGAGAGGCAACTGATCAATGTATCTCTTGCACATCAATGTTTCTCTCTGTCTCTTTCTCCCTCCCTTCCCCTCTTTTCCCCTATATTCTCATGCTAATTTCTTATGCATAAACTTCCTCAAATATGATCAATGAGATTATTAAAAGGGTTTAGGATTAAACACTTAGGCCTTCCTAAATAAATACCTACCACTTTAGTTTGCAGACATCATTACTTGCTAGTCTGCACACTGACACAGCCCAAACCTGAACAAAATGGGCTGCGCAGTGGTCACCCCATAACACAGGCCTGGCCGTGTCATCCAGTCCCGCTAGTTCCCCTCAGATGGCGCCATTGTGCAGGATCTCACCGGATACGTTTCTCCGGGGTTCCCTCCTGGCACTCGCCTCACATGTCCCTTTAACCTCTGGTTTCTCACCACGGAGCAACTCTGAGGTTGCTGGTACACACTGAACTATTCTGTGTCTCTCTCACTCTGAGAATACAAAACAAACAGAATGCTATCCCTACTCTAGAGTAGCATGCAGGACAACAAATAACTTCATTATGCACCGTGCAAGCACCGT